AGATATAAATTTAATCTCTTTCAATAACTGGAAAAATTCTAGGAAAAAAAAAGCATCCATCATTTCTTTTTTGTCCATCAATTTCCTATTTAATATTAATTTGAAAAACTTTTTTTTTTTTGCAATTTAAGAATTATTGAAAGATTAAATTTGAATTATTTGCTAATGAAAATTATAAATTGATGAAATCACGATAATACTAATATGAAATGGAAAAATATTCAAACAAGTGCAACTGAATTATATTTTAGAAATGAATACAATTATTTCATTTTACAGATATCCAATTACAGTTCATTGCACAACAGGAATTGGTCGTTCCGCTACATTTGTGGCGATTGAATTGGTACTTGAAATGCTTAGTATGGGCCAAAATTGTATTATGGCTGATTTATTATCGAATTTACGAAAGCAACGAGCACAAGCTATTAATGTTTGTTTGTTTGTTTTTTTTCTTAAAAACAAATATTCAGTTATGCTAATATCATATGAAATGTTACGTCAAATACGTTACATTAAAGTTAAATAAATATCCAATTGTCCTAATATCCTATGAAATGTTACTTCAAATGCGTAACATTCATAAATCTTCTAGTAATTTTAATTCAATTAATTATTGTAAATAAAGAATAAATGAAGTGAAAATGTTGACAGTAAAATAATCAAATCGTAATTAGGTTTTATTATTTTTATCATCAAACATATTTGATATATATTATTACACACAACTATTACTATATCAGAATATACGGTAATTAATAAATTGATAATTAATATTTGCAGTCTTGGAAGCAATATCTAGCAATACACAAGCATATTATGAATTATTTGATAACACATAAAAAGATTCCGAAAGAAATTTTAGAAGAAGTTGATGAATTTTTAAATGCATGCATGAAACAAATGGCTGTGAAGAAGTGAAAGATGAAACATCAAAATTATCAACCTTAAAATTTTCCTTCTTTTTTTTTTTCTAACCTCTATTTTTCGTGTAAATTTTACATTTTATGAAATCAATAAATTAGGAAAAAATTCAAGCAAATATCATGATTAACTGTAATGAAATGAAAATAATTAATCAAATTAAAATCAATTTAAGCAAAAATACGTTTTCATTTAAAGTAAATGCCAATAAAATATGTATTAAATAATTTATTTGATAATTTTTGAAATACATATGTTATTATGATTTTCAAATTATATATGTAGAAAATTGAAAGAGTGAACAAAAAAATACCATCATTTTCATTTTCAAAATTTAAAAATAGCATTCCTTTTTTTTTGTATAATAAAAAATTTCGTGCAAAATATGAAATAAATAGAAGTAATTTCTTGAATTCACTAACGATGGGAGGCGCAAAGGTATCATCATCACATTAGTGTCATCACAGGTCACCACCACCTATCCTTTTTACCATCACAATTCTCGTTTTATGACACCCTTGTCTGTCTCTGTCTCTCTCTCTCTCTCTCTCTCTCTCTCTCTCTCTCTCTCTCTCTCTCTCTCTCTCTCTCTCTTTCTCTGTGTTCATATGTGTATTTATGTTCTAATGCAATATTATCTGGTTTCTTTCCTCCGTTTTCTTCCTTAAATTTATTATTATTATTTTTTTTCTCAGCATTAATTGATAAAGTTTCATTCAATCCTAATTGATCTATTCAAATTGAATCCTTTTTTTTGCAATTAATAAAATGCAAAAGAATTTCATATATAATTAAATTAGAACAAATTTTAGAAATTTAAAGAAATGATTCTTTTTTTTTTCTTTTTGGAGCTAAAAATTTCACTTTCTTAAGGGGACACATTACCTTTCCTATTTTCAATATTAATTAGTTTAGAAAAAAAAAAGCTTTCGATATTTACAACAAAAAATGAAGCATATTGAAATGCATAATTTGAAGTTCTTAATTTTTATCTCAATTATTTTTTCATTATCGGAAATAACATAAGCAAATTTATAAGTTGATAAAATCGATTAAATTTATAAGCTGAGAAAATTGATTAAATTTAGAAGCTGATAAAATTGATTAAGAATTTATAAGCTGATAAAACTGATCAAAAATTTATAAGCTGATAAAATCGATTAAAACTGATTAAAAGATGATTTATGTAGTATTATGATTAA